CTTCCAACTCCTCACATTCTGTGATCCTGTATTTTCAACACCTGGATTGCCCAGATTACCAAACTGGGTGGCATTTTATTACTCACAACATCTGGAATTAAACTACCAGGTATATGTCACCTCACATTTTGTATCTGTATTTGAGTTCAGTTCTGCATTTGTGGGAAGCAAATAATTCCTCTCAGTCAGATTCCTTCCTGTAGGTGTAAAAATAGCAGGTAACTTTTCCAAGTCTTTTTGTTCCTCATACTCTATATATGCTATAACTTATCTCTTTCTCCCTCATGCTATTGTCTGTCATACTCAAAGACTGCCTCATTGTCACAGATAAATGAAAATTCATCCTGCTCCCTCTTGTGCGTTCACTGATAGTTGCTTGCTTATACCCCGAGCTGACACTGGATATCATAAAAGTATTTTTCTCTTTTAATTGAAAAAATAACTCTGACTGTGTCTGAGATTGTATTGGTTAGTGGTTCCTTAAGGCTGGAGGGAATGCTGTTCCTCTGGTTTTAAAGCAACTTTGTAGCCTGAATAGGGGTTTTTTTAACCCTAAAGTGAGTTTATTTTAATGGTTATTTTTTGAGCATCCACAGTGTGTGCACACAGCGGTTTGGGGTATGTGGACCCTCATTTTGAGTGCTCATTGACAACCAAGACAGAAGTCCCTGGTATCATGGGAATTCCTGACTCCCCCAGCTCCCTCATTGCTCCCCAGCATTCGGCTGCTCCACACCCCTCCCCAGCTCCCTTGCCCTTCTCTGCCCATGCTCCACACCCAAAATGGCCTTTTTGGGACCCAAAACTGAGCCCAGGATCCCAGGGGCGGCCTCAGCAGTGCCCAGCACAGGGGCACAATCCCTGCTCCTGCTTCTGCTGCCCACACCAGTGCTGGACAAGCCACGATGGCCTTGGCCATCCTGCTCTGCTGGCCCTTGTCCTGTCCCTGGGCACCACTAAGAGATGCTCCATCTTCTTCACTCCCCTGCATCAGGTATTTATCCAGAGTGAGAAGTTCTCACCAGAGTATGGAGAAGATGCTTCCCATACCAACATCAGTTCCAATTCACAATGAACACCTCTTGTATCCCATCTTTTTTGTTTATTTTGTTGTTATCCTAATGTTGGCATGATACTCTTGCTTTTGCAGATCTGTTGTTTGGGCTCCCTGGGAAGTACAGCGGGGTGAACCTCTACAACAGGAAGCGAGTGGTGTCGTACACCGTCACACTGGGTCTCCAGCGATACGATTCCAGGTAAGGAGCTTTAGCTGGGCTATTTCTATGTTAGGGGGATCCCTTACTCGTTTCTTGGCAAGTTTGCTGTTTAATTATCGTTACGTCTTTCTTTAATCTCCGTTTTCAGGTATTTTAGGATTTTCTGAACATGCTATAGAAAAACAGGTTCCTGTTTTGGGGAGAAAATTTGCTATGTCTTAAGGAAATAGAATACATTCAGTTCTCAGTTTCTCTTTACAAAAAGGATCTATAATACCCAAAGCTGCCAATGGTTGTTCCTCAGATGATGGCTTCATCTGCACACAAAGCTGTCATCATTGCAGCCAAGGCCCAGTAGGTCCATATTGACCCAGTTCCTTCTACATAGAGTGGTTTGCTTTCCAGTAAGCTCTAACTGAACTGGTACCAACTGCGAAAGCCCTTTGGCAGTGTTGGCAGAGCTGGTTTGGATAGAGTGGATCTGAAGACTGAACACTGTGCTCTGTGCTGTGCACAATTCCCCAGGGAATGCCTAGGACAGAAGCAGCACAGTCAAAACTTGCTCTGGTGCCGCCCGTGCAAGAACCCTTCAGCCTCAAGGACTCTAATGGAGAACCTTTTATCAGCTGCACTTAGATAAAATATGGGGGATAGTTGAGAATACAGCGTGTTCTGTTCCCCAGGGCCAAGATTTTGGATGATGAGCCCTTGCTTTAAATATTTTTGCTGAGTCTTCAGAGTTACCCTTGAATCTTCATAGAAATCGAGGTCTGTGAGTTTGCCACAGTACAGATGTGGTGAATGTAGTTTCAGAGGATCAGATTTAGCAGTCAGGCCTAGAAAGAAACGTGCTTTTTAAGTCTGTGTGCATCTATGGAGCTTCTTCCTGCTCGATTTCTACCATTGAGCTCCTCCCTGGAATCGTGTGCTGGTTGTGGTGCACAGTGTGACCTCCTCCTGCTTTGCTGCTGGGCAGAGGGAGCTGGGGGTGTTGGTGGCCAGCGGCTGAAGAGGAGGCAGCAGAGGTGGCCAAGAAGGCCAAGGCCATCGTGGCTTGTCCAGCACTGGTGTGGGCAGCAGGAGCAGGGCAGGGCTTGTGCCCCTGTGCTGGGCACTGGTGAGGCCGCCCCTGGGATCCTGGGCTCAGTTTTGGTTCCCAAAAAGGCCATTTTGGAGCTGGGGAGGGGTGTGGAGCAGCCGAATGCTGGGGAGCAATGAGGGAGCTGGGGGGGTTGAAGTGGAGCAGAGGAGGTGAGGGGGAGCCCTTATCCCCTCTTTGGCTCCTGACAGGAGGGTGTAGCGAGAGGGAGTCGGGCTCTGCTCCCCAGGAACAAGCGATGGGAGCAGAGGAAATGGCCTCAGGATGTGTCAGTGAGGTTTATATTGGATTTTGGGGGAAATGTCTTTATTTGAAGGATTGTGAGGGCCTGGCAGGGGCTGCCCAGGGCAGTGGTGGAGTCCCCATCCCTGGAGGGGTTTAAAAGATGGGGAGATGTGGCTCTTAGGGGCATGATTTAGTGGTGGAGTTGGCAGTGCTGGGTTAATGGCTGGACTTGGTGATCTTAAAGGTCTTTTCCAACCCAAATGATTCTGTGATTCACCTCAGGTTCCTCAGCAGCCTCCGCTCTCGCCTCAAGCTGCTGCATCCCAGCCCGAACTGCACGCTGCGAGAGGAGAACATCGTTCACGTCCACTTCAAGGAGGAGATCGGCATTGCTGAGCTGATACCCCTCGTCACCACCTACATTATCCTCTTCGCCTACATCTACTTCTCCACACGTAGGTTTGTGGGGTGGAGAGCTTTGAGGAGACAACAAGCTAATAACCCATCTGTACACCTACGAGCTGAACAGATGTATGGGATCAGTGGTTGGGTGCCCTTCCCCTGGCTACAGAGAAGACAAACTCCTGTCCACAACAGTTCCCTCCTGTTTCAGCAGAAAAGGTGGTGGTGAAATTTTCCCCTCAAGTGTCACATAGAGAATTTGTCATCCTGTTTATCTGATTTCTGCTGATTTGTCCCTCTTAGCCAGTGCAATGTTATTCTCTGTGATACCTTCTGAGGTGTTTTCTGTCTAAATGCCGTGGTAAGGACATTTTTTCCCAGTTTGGAGGGGCTGATTTGTTGTGAGACAGATCAAATACATGTTTTGAGCTGGTGATTTTAGGCCATATTAGCCACACTTAAGTTCTTTATTTTGTACTTCACCATTGCTGTACTGGAACCAGTTTGAGCTACAAGCCCTTACAAACTGGGAGGGTGTGGGAGCTGCCTTTCAGACATTGAACTACCGTTAATTTTGGGTTGCAGGGCTGAACTAAATCAGGATGAGGATCCCTTTCTCCTTGTTTTTTTTATTAATATGTAGCTTTATTTTGCTTGGTAATTGTTTTTCAGGGAAGATCGACATGGTGAAATCGAAATGGGGCCTGGCGCTGGCAGCGGTCGTGACGGTGCTCAGCTCCCTGCTCATGTCCGTTGGGCTGTGCACGCTCTTCGGTTTGACGCCCACTCTTAACGGAGGGTACGTTTCCAGCACCAAAAGACAAGGGTAGATGGAGGTGAAATCATTTGAAAACAGCTTAATCTTTAAGATGTAGTATTCTTCAAATAAGCTTACGTGATACGTTCAGTTCTGAATCATTCTTTTGATTTTCACATCCATTTCCTAAGTAGTTAAGGAAATACCCATCGTTTTTCATCCCATCTCCTCCATGTGGCTGTACACCGTAGGAACAAGGAAAGGTCTGACCCATGAGGGACACTCCTCAATGCTGGTGATAGTTTAGCACGAGCCAGACCGCATGGAGGAATTTCTCTTCTAGAAGCTTAAAATTGCTGGGAATAATTGACTTCAGAAATGAAAATATTTGGGTTTTTTCCTGTTTTACTGTGGTACCAAAGAGCCTTAATTATGGCTCAAGACCACATTGTTCTTTGAGCGGTACAAATAAACCACATAGGATTCACTGGGGATTTATGATTTTAATTCATAATTAATTCTAAATTTAAGAATAGAGGCAATATTTGGATGCAGACACATAGGAAAGGAACTCCTTTGGTTAATGCAATGACCAAGACCTTGTCACACAGACGGGGCTAAACTGATCTCGTTATTCCTCCTACAGGACAGAAAGACTTTTCAGCCTTTTATATCCATTTTCTTTACAGCAAAGCCTTCCAGGTGTAGGTGTGTTTGTTCTTAAATGTGCCTGTATCTATAATAAGCCTTTTCCACCTCACTGGTTTTTGTAAGGTATTAAAGTAAAGCTCCTTGCTTAGAGATCTGTGTGTGCTTGCTACAGGTATGATACATAAATTGGACCTTAAGCTTTTATAATGGAGTGAAATGATGAGAAGTGAGGTAAGCATTATCTTATTTTACGGAAAAGACAACTACTTGGAGATAGATGACATGATCTGTGTGGGATTTAAGGAAGAATAAGGAGTGAAGTTGAGCAGAATGCCTGGAGTTCACTGGAGTGGGATCCTGTGAGCTGGTGGACTGGGATGAGATGAGAGAAGCTGATGTGATAAATTCTTTAATCCTCTAAATGTTTTCGATAAAGCAGAGATTATCTTTGTTCTCAAGGATGTATGGACTCAGGGAAGATCTGTTTTCTTTGTGAGTTAACAGCGGTGTTTCTGTTACTCTGGAGTGCTGGATCATGCTGCATCAAAGCGATAAGTGAGGTGTAAATGTTTCAGTAGATGGATGTGATACGGCCTCTCCCCATGCTTTTCCTCCCTCTTCCCGTTGGAAGCTCTTTCTCAGTGCCTGGCACTGTACGGCGGAACAATATAATGAGGATCTCGCTCCGAGTGAGTACAAATGAGCTTAGGTTTTGGAGTTGCAGGGTGTGAACAGTTTGTCCTGCACAGAGCCACGTTGCTCTTCAAGAAAAGCCAAAGTCTCATTAAACCGCTGGTCATTTAACATGAAAAATGCTGGCTCTTCAAGGACTACTGAAACTCATAAGCTGGGACTCTCAGTTAACGATCTTCTGCAGTAGAAGCTATGGTTTAAGTAGGATACAGTTGATAGGAGAATTGGGATTTTTCTGTTTCGTATTTGGACCGCCTTGTGAAGGTTTACTGCAGCTTATCTGGAGATGATTCAAGACCCCCTGTGTATCTTGCAGGACTGTGCATAAGGACAGGGACACTGCAAGGACTCTGCAAGACCATGCCCTTGCAGATAAGATGCTCTGCAGGACCTTGCTGTGCTGTGCCAGACAGCTGAGCTCTCCCTTGTGTTGGTTGCATTCTCTTTATTTAGCAGTTTCCATCCCTAGGCATACAGAGAGCTTTGCTCACATCTGTCTCCTGTCCTAAAGTACTGCTGGGAGCAGTGACACAGGTTGTGAACTGAAAATGCTTTAGACAAAGGCAGGACTGATTTGGACTGTCTAGATTTTGGATTCTTTGACAGTAACAGGAGGCTGACCTTGTTGTGGCCTTCCAAGACCTGAAGAGGCTCCAGGAAAGCTGGGGAGGGACTTTTGAGAAGGGCTGGAGTGATAGGATCAGGGGGGATGGCTTGAAACTGGAATTTGGGAGATTGAGAGTGTAGATTGGGCAGAAATTGTTGAGTGTGAGGGTGGTGAGGCCCTGGCCCAGGTTGCCCAGAGAAGCTGTGGGTGCCCCCTCCCTGGCAGTGGCCAAGGCCAGGTTGGCCGGGGCTTGGAGCAGCCTGGGCTGGGGGAGGGGTCCCTGGCCGTGGGGGTTGGACTGGGGGGGCTGTGAGGTCCCTTCAACCCAAACCAGGCTGGGATTTGATGAAAATGATGTTGAAGCCTGTGTCAGATGGCTGTAGGGAATCCAAAGCAACATTTGGGAAGCTGGTCCTTGGGGTTTATGGCATGAAATGGCAAAAGCAGGAGGTGCTCTTCTGAAACCCTGTTGTGTGCCTGTCTTGGCTGTTGGTGATTGCCAGGGGGAAGGGTGGCACACCACACACCCACGTTCTCCTCCTTTTGGATCTGTACACGCCAGCACAGCACAAATCCGTTCCCCTCCACAGTGAAAGCTTTATTAGGTTTGCTTAAGTTTAGCTGGAGGGAATGGAAGAGATTGGCTGTTTCCCATGTTCTGGCAGCTTTTTCCTCTCTAATCTGGCCTGCAAGTAGTTCAAAAGAGATTTAAAAAAATTAAAGGTAAGAGGAAGAGTTGAATAAAGTCACGGTGGTGACCATGGGTCGCTTTTGAAAGGTTTGTTTAATGCTTAGCTGTGATTTGTGAGGGTTTTCACTTGGTGGTGGGACATGCTCGGTCCCCTCTTGTCGTAACGTACTCTTGATGGATAATTATTGCTGAGTTTGTTGCAGTGGTGTTGGAGTCCATCATCTGTACCAGATACCGGAGAGACTCTCTGAGGGGCACTGTCCCAACCTTGGGAAGCTTTCAGACAAATTTAGTGATGGTTTACAGTGGCCTTTTTCCAGAAAATCATGCAGCTTTGCAAAAAATGTTCGTATCAGTCCAAGGCAGATGAAATACAGAGCACTCGCCTCATGAGTAATATCATACGAGAAGGGATTTGGCCGAGAGCACTGGATGGTGTCTCCTGGCCTTGACTCTAGGATGCATTTTTGCTGCTTAACTTGTGTTCTTCCCTTCTTTTTCACCACGGATCTCATTCTCAGCTGTGTTTCTGTTTCTTTTAGAGAGATATTTCCATACTTGGTGGTGGTGATTGGCCTGGAGAACGTGCTGGTTCTCACCAAGTCTGTTGTCTCTACGCCCGTTGACCTGGAAGTGAAGCTCCGCATTGCCCAAGGTATGCAGCCTGCTCTGGAAAAATGCTGAGAGAGAGAAAATCTGGGTAACCCAAGGACTGGGAGGTGGGAAATGATCTTAATTCTGTGTGTGTTAATGTGAATTGTGCTCTGTTAATCTCTGTTTTTGTTAATTCCAAGAACTGATACAGGTTTTGCTCACTGCTTTTTAAGGCTGTTGTCTGAAGCATTGACTAAACAAGTTTAAAACTGTTAGTAAAGGAGAGCTGTATCTCCTGGCATTGCTATTTAGCACCTTGACTTCTCGTGTCATGAATATCCTAAGTGCAGTCCACAGGTCATAGGAAATTCTGCTGAGTCTGTGGCAAAATTATCTTCTCTATTACAGATACACTCTGCACCCGTGCAAGAATTCGAGTATGCTCAAACTGTGGATAAATGTTGTCTACAAACTTAAAAATTATTTCTGGACAGTATTAAAGACACTGGGAGTCTGCTGTCCAGTTATTTGACTTAAATATTCAAACTAGCTCAGATGAATTTTAGCCCGAAGGTGTCTTTTTTTGGCTGTTATCTGTAGATATCTAATTTTAAAGAAGGGAAATCCAGTTCCTTTTTCACAGAATCACAGAATC